AAACGAGAGATTCAGCTGGGTTCCAGGTGAGTCTCTGGACCAAACCAAATTAGTTTGCAGATGAGTGTATATTCGCTAGGTTCCGGTCATAGTTTATCTGCTGAGCTACCGCGATCGTCTGAATGGAAAGGCAGCCGAGAGGTTAGCACAAATGGCGACAGCTACTTGTAACTAGGACCAGAGTGAATCCACAAACAAAGGTGGTCAGAGACTAATACACTCGAGAGAAGATTGACTAAGGTTTGTTACGGAAATTTCAAACCACCCTTGAAAAACAAAAAAAACCTAACGGATCGTTCCCCTGCTCCCATGTTCGGTAATCGGTTTCATCAGGGATCTTCATAGCCGGTGAAGCAATTGAGCAGATCGCAATTGGGGTTAATCGTAGGCGTTTGTACCAGTAAGCGTCAGTTTCGTACCATTTCATTCCTTCCCGTAGGAGTTCCGTTCCCCTCGGGTAACGAGAATTGAAATGTTCTCAAGATGTGTTACTTGTCTGATCTACCTACAAGAATGCCTAACCCTATCCAATGCTCCCCTACCCGCCAGGAATCTTGAATGATTTCTCAGAAGTTAGCAATCACTGCTATCTGAAATGCTGCATCGAAATGTTTCCGAATATCTAAGTTTAGTTACGTACATGATAAGAAAAAAATAGAAATTAGATGACTGCCTTTCTCGTTATGCCACAAATCGTGACAGGTTTGAGTGGGATGATTTCTGAGAGGAGACAGTGCTGTTGTTACTACCGTTTTTCCACCGGTAAAGAGTTTATCCTTGCCCATCAGAAATCTCATATGTAGATGCGCCGGTCCTCATCGTTTCCACAGACTCGTTCAGAGTATTGCAATGATAACATATTTAACTCTAGGACAGTATATTTCACATGCAAACCCAATTCAGTCAAATTCGGTGTCTGTTAAGTTAACTTCAGACCCAGTAGATCTCTGGGCCATATGCACTGGAAATAAATATTAATATTTTTCTTCAATATTCTGAGGGTTTGCCTTCTACAACACATGTGCCGATAAAGTCATGATGACTCAAGGCCGTAGGCGAACTTGCTGACATAACGTGTTTTTATGTCCTTGTCCCTGCTGACATAACGTGTTTTTATGTCCTTGTGCAAGAGGTTTTGTCCGTCTGGATGTGACGGCCGGAAGGATTAAACTTCGCACTTATCACTGAGATACTGACTTTCTATCAGACTTTGTAGGCAAGCATCATGCGTAAAGAATACTCATGAACTGGTTGTTGATCAGGTGGCAGTTGATTGGTTCGCCGAGCTTGGTAACTGACCTGCAAACGTTTCGTCCGCAGGCCAGGAGACATCGTCAATGGGCGGGTGGGTAGGTGAATCATTCGCCAATCTCGGCGAATGGATCACGTGAACATAAGCGAGATGCACTCATTTGTAAATAAATTTGGTTTCGCGATAGACTTACCTTGAACTCAGCTGGATTTCTAGTTTATGATGTTTTTAAGCAACTGAGTGTGCTGCACCAGGCCGCCTCGTTGCAGTTGGTACGCTATTCGAGATATCGCAATACATGTGTAGACGCAATACGCCACTCATAAGGTTGCTGAAAATTCTTACACATCGCAAACGGGAGATTCATCTGGGTTCCAGGTGAGTCACCCGCAAGACCGAAACGGGGAGTGCGCCTACCCGATGATCCCCAAGAAGGGTAAAACCGATCGTGGGCTTTCAAAGAATTTTCAGCGAACTTATGAGTATTGTGTTACGTCTAAACAGGAACATCGTTCAGCTGTAAGACCCTTTCGGTGCCTAGTTACCATACCTCCCCAAAGGAAACTCGAGGGCTGGAATACTGTTAGGTGGCCTAAGCTGAGACAGGTGAAATAGAGGCCCAGAGTTCGGGTTGGAACCATGGACCTTCCGGTCAGTCAATTCGCGCACCACTGAATAGTCTCGTCCTCACCCGAGGTGCACTTTGCCAATACACCTTGAAAATAAGCACGGTGTTGGAATGTGGGTCTTCTGTCCGACAGCGACTCATGTTGGATGATTGTATCACTATCTGGTATAGCGTGTTTTCCTCCATCGAGACGGCTTTATAATACACTCCTTATCTGCATGCGCATTTGGGACTTTTCGCTTCATTTGTCAATTTTGGTTGACATGTTTCGGCATACTCGGGATGGTTTTGTCACTAGAACGTCCATTTGCACTCGGTGTGTGATCACTCTCTTCCTCTGTCAAATAAAAATAGTTCTGTGATAGACGGTCATGTAAAGAGGGGCAGCTGCTTTCGGGGGTAGACAACAACCATCTTCTGGTTCACCTTCTGCTGAGCTATAACATCTCCCCCCGAAGAAGGCAAAATGCTCTCTTGCCCAGGTTGGTCATTCTTGGGAGGATCTCGGTTCGCATCACGCTCTGACATCCATTAGTCCTGCGCGTAAGCCGCAAAAGGGTCATCAGTTTTGTGCATGGCATTCTGTCTAGGAGCACTAATTTACAATAACTTCATCGACAAGACACTACTTATAAGGTTGATTACATTCTGGAACACTTCAGGCTCCGGCTTTTTTCGCACACTCACAAGTCTAAACGTCGATTTGTTTACGAAGTTGATGTTGGCGGGAAGCATAGGTGAATCTGTCGCTCTACAGAAGAGCCACCATATGGTTCACCTTGGTCAATATTCAAGACACAGAAATGCACTTCCTTGGGGCAATACTACTTATGAGTTCGATGAAAGCTCTTCTGCGTTCTATAGTCGGTTTCACCATTTCGACAATTTTTCACTGAGTTTTTTGGTTGAACGCCATATTTTGATAAACGGAGTTGAGCACTCAGTTAAAGCATATCATAAACAAAGAAAAGATTAGAATCTTATTCCAGTGTAATTATAGCGGTGATTTAATCACGAATGGATATGTAACTGCAACTAACTCCCAATCAATTGAAAAGGCTCGTTTCAGAAGACTTTGGTAGACTTTCTGCGTGTATCTATCCAAATCACATTAGGCCGGTTGGTAACTGTGAAGCATCAAGCTTGTGTGGACCGTGGACCGCACAGGGATGTTGCCACGTGAGCCTCCTCGGTGCTTCTCCAGTCAGCTTATGAAAAAACGGCTACGCAAGGATGAGAGACATTACATCATAATCTCTTACTTTTGAACTTTTGAATTAGGACCCTTATTATTTATAAATAACGAAATTACTTTTGTCCATTTGTGCTCTGTCAGTGCGAACATCCAGAACACCTATTTATAACACGGACCGGAGGCCGACTGCGGGTGGTCCTCGAGCAGCCTTGGAAGCTCACAGAGCCCGTCATAGTTTTGGTGACCTGCCCAACTCCCTAGACCGACTCAGTTCGCTTGGCCTTAGCCCAAATCCACGCTCTATGTCCAATTTCACCCGCTCCATGGGATCTGTTGAGGTACGGTATACGGACGGTTCGGTCGTAGGTCTCAATAACGGTAGTAAGTTTAAATTTCCATGTAAATATATGTATATATATTTCAACAACGCGGTCATTTCATCAAATGAGACCATGTGATATGAATCTCCTGCCTGTAAGAGAGTGAAACCGTGCTCACATCCAAGAGTGGATTAGCTGCTACCTTGTATGTTGTCAAATCGTGGCACCGTGATGGTTCTCAAAAAACTAGCCAGAAGGTTTTCAATTCCCCCCCCCCCCCCCCGAGATTAGTGAAGTGCGCAGTTTCATCATGCCAACAGAGTTAAAACTTTAGACGCTGCTTGTGTGATTTACAGGGTATGTTCCTTTCACCTGCTGGGTAACATCACAATTCGAAAGCTAGAAGCCTTACACGACAAACATTACCGAGTTCCTTCCACAATCGCTCCCACCGAAAGTGTTCAGAACCGTGTATTTTTTGGCGTATGCTTGGACTGCGATGGATTCCGATCTCACACGCATCTCAGCGTTCACTTTCGATAAACAACTGACTCAGTAACCACGTGCTTATGACGTTCTCAGTGGGTTTTTCTGTCCGTGGCCTTTTTTGATGGCACATTCTTTTCCGGTTGTTTCTGAGTATGGCTTTTTAGGGCAGACCAGTTCTACTCCAATAATAATTGCTTGCCTCGGAACGTACATGTCACTAACAGGTAAGAATGCCATTAGTTCCAAGTTAGCAGTACTTCAGAGATGTAGTGGCTTAATTCATCCACGTAATGTCCCTGTTTTAACACCGCAAATGTTTTACAGCGTTTACGGTTGCACATTTGACATTTGGGCGATTTTTCTAGCTGGAAATTCGGTTCTATTCAAAACTACTCCGTCCCCTGGCAATAATTTTGCCTTTTCAACCCTCAGATTTGGTAGCTTGATCCTAAGCTTGTTGTACCTGTATTCAACTTGACTGCATACTGTTTCTCTAGTATTCAAGTTATCACGTGACAGTGATGCCTCGAAAGAGTGCCACAGATAGGCACCAAATTTTTTCATAAAGGAAACTACTCACAAGGTTGTGACATCTTGAATACCGTGCCAACTGAAACATGAGGCGGCCTGTATGCAGCACATTCAGTTGTAGAATATCATAAACGAGAGATTCAATTGAGTCTCTCGTGAAAACCAAATTGATTTGCAAATAGGCATCAAATTGTTTTGTGAAGTCAATGAAGTGACCAACAGGCCGCCTCATGTTTCAGTTGGCACGGTATTCAAGATGTCACAACCTTGTGAGTAGTTTCCTTTATGGAATATCGCACCAACTGAAACATGAAGCGGCCTGTGTGCAGCACATTCAGTTGTAGAATATCATAAACGAGAGATTCAATTGAGTCTCTCGTGAAAACCAAATTGATTTGCAAATAGGCATCAAATTGTTTTGTGAAGTCAATGAAGTGGAATATTTGACCTAAAAGTGCTTTATAAATGTGGATTACCTCGATTTGGAATATACCGCCAAGAAATTTACGGTTTTGGGCATTTTTAAGTTTCACGGAGGGGAGATGTGATCAACGGTTCTAGCCTATTCCCTCCGCATTCGATCTGCATGAATACCTCAACTGCTTAAATGAATGGATCTCACAATACGCAGCCCCGTACCATAACCAAGTATCCTGCTGTGATTGCTGGAACAACAAAACCGCTAAGCCAAGCGTTGCGCCCACTTCGTCCTGTTTGTAGACAGTTCAGAGCGGTCGATCGATGGATTTCGAACAACCCTCTCTCACGCGTTCCACATGCACTGTGAGCTAAGTCTACCTTGTTAGATACCAGACTTGCAATTGGTAGCGTTATTTTGCTCTAGCCCGATCGATCGTCTTACTTTCATGTATGTGCTGTGTGTGTGTGTGCATACGGTTAACGTGTCGTTTACCTTCCGTTCTTGTGTGTGGGCCTCTATTTCACTCGTTTCTTGTGTGTTTCGAAAACAGATGTGTCGATCAACCAATAAATGTATATTCACATGGTCAGGACATTCAAAGGCTGTGGACATTGTAGAATGACAGACTTCCATAGTTGGTTAGTTGAGATCTAATAACATCTTCCGGATTTCTGAAACATACTTTAGCTCAGGTAATTAACCACTGAGTCTATTTGACTGAATGTTGCTTTCAGGTCAGAAGCTGCCTAATTCCCCATTCCGCTTATGTTACTATTATTTCTTGAGTAGTAAGGTAAGCCGGTGTTTTATGGACTTTGCCAGGTACCACCAACTCCGAGTGTGTTTAGGGTTTTTCGGAACTTGGCATTTATTCGTGATTAAAAATCGCCGATTAATAATGGTTCATATTTGTAGGTATCTTCTAGCATCAGCGCACAACAAGTAATACTGGAGTGTGAATTAGAACCTTCCAAATATTGATCGTTGTGGGCTGTGTGGTCGATTGGGTCAATAAATCAGCAGCTGGTAAGATCAGTATCCGAACTAGATCGGTGAGACGCTAAATATGACCGTAACTCAGTGAGTAGTATTAGAATGGCATGCTTGATTTTTCACCTGATACAGTTGGGTTGAAAGCGGATGAACGGACAACCGCATTTTTATTAGACGTACATGAACTACTATTCCCAGTAAAGCACGATAGCGAAAAATCTTTCAGTTTACCACATTATGGTGACTGGTTAGGAATTCAAACGAAGTTAGAAATGGGAAAGTAGTTTATTGCTAAGCCACTTCACTGGAAGACGGGTAACAAACGTGAATCACCATGATGTCATTAAATAGTCGCAGGTTAAGCCTACAGTGAGCGATCCGGAGCTGGCATTTTCGGGGTTCCAAGTTCACAGGTCTGTCACTGACCGGCACAGCGCAGTGTCAACGTCCGCACACCAAACAACGGCGGGTAGAATGATGGCTCAGTAGTGTGGGTTGCGGTCGTCCCTTCCGACGACGGTCTCGTGATTCTCATTGGACGTGCGATAACACGGAACTCACGAGAAGGCGAGTCAAGGCAGGCTCAGCAAGCGGGACGTGAGCGCACATGGGTAAGTGGGTCAGCAGCGCACATTCACACACAAACACACACGTCAATACGCAAGTGTCGGAAAGGTCGGCCTCTGCGGCAAGGTGAGTGGCGGGTACAAATTAGCAAAACAACTGGAGATCAAAAGTACATAGGCGGAGTAAGCAAATGAATGAGGAATTATCTTAAGGTCAAGTTAGATTCGACAGTAAAATGCTCTGATGATTGTAAGCACGTATGCAGGTCCGAGTGCCTGGAACGACGAAACTCATAGTCGGTGCATTCGACTTTAAGAACACAATACCTTAGCTATTCCATGTGAAATATGAGGTACGTCCAGATATGGAAGTCAGAGTAACTCATTTTCTTGACGGAATAGCAGACTTGACTAGGCATCAGTCGAGTCTCCCATTAATTTACAAAGGAATGTATTTCGCGAACTTATTTGTACGATGTCACTGAAGTGGATCGTCAAATGTTAAAATGAGCCCCGAAGTAGTCCTGTAGAATGAATGAATGAATGAGGCAACCAAATTTATCAAGATTTTTATGGCCGCCAGCTGAGAATTTACGGATACATTCCCAAGACTGAGTAGTCCTCTTGAGTGATCCGCTTGCGACCAAGAACCATACTGACTGTTTTCGTTTCAATCGACTGGGGAAACAGCGTCCAGCGTCACCTTATAGATCGAGGGTTACATTTGTGTTCCATCTCTTTTTACTTGATGGTATGTTATTCCTATAGACAGTTTTCCCCCATCTCTTCCTTTGAATAGTATATATATATAGTAAATATATAAATAAATAAATATAGTAAATATGAATCGTAAACATGACCGAACTGACTGTATATGTACACTTTGCTGAGTTCGAATCCATACATGTTTTGATACACATAGTACTGTATACTTTTGACATTTAGTCAATAGCCCAGCTGTTAGGCTACCGTTAGCGAGATCTAACCGTTTCTAAATCTATTATGTTTTCCACACTTCCCTGTTCCCTTCGTTTTGTGCAATGGAAGGACAACATTCCTCTTATGCTGAAAACGGCAAAAGTCGGTATGTCAAACGCATGGAATAGTTCAATTTAAAGTTTCACTTCCGATATTTATTTATCCAATCTTCTCTTATATGCGTATACCTCAATCCTAGTCACTTATTCAAAAGAAACGCAGTAAAGATCCGAATGGACGCAAATATTTGGTTGCATAGACATCATCATCTTCGTCAGCAACAGATGATTCAGTTCCGGACAACCAAGATTTTATTTAATTATATTGAGAGATAAACTAGAAAAAACAGCTGTTGCTGACTCGTCGAAGTAGCAAGTGCACAGGTATCCCATCCTGAAAGGTGGACCAGACCACGTAAACTCTCCGTAATCCATTCCGCACAGTCATACGTTACCCACATTTCGCCATTCCTTATGAGGCGTGGGGAACAACATTCGTCTAGGTAGACGATGTTTCAGAATGCAGGTAGGTGTGCGTCACCAAACATGTACACCGCTTCAACATGCTTGCAGTCTAAGTGACTTTCTGCTCTGATGTTGAGGATCATGGTGAATTGGTTCACACAGAACAACACAAAGTGGCTGTCATCTCCTTTCCTGCCTATGGATTTTACCTAAATCAAAGCTTACCGGTCAAGCATAGCAGCTCAACTTGCTTGTCAGAGTACGGTTTGACTTGAAATTCACATGCGAACATTCGTCTCAGAATGATGTATGCTTAATTTCCAATCCTGCTACGTCACTCAGACTGAACATGCAGTTTGTAGTCTAGGAATGGCTATCTACACAATCGCCCCGTTCGGAAATTCTCAAGTGTACGCTGACAACAATCAAACGAGCCTGAGCCTGTTTTCAGTCACGTCTGGCATTTTACAAGACGTGCTTCTAGAACAGTTTGTGTGTTTAACGAGGGTCAGTTATAATCAGTGCCTCTTTGGTTGAAAATAAGCCTCAATTTATAAATAACACATGATGGTAAAGAGACCCGTCGGAGGTACGCTGTCAGTTTGAAACAAAACATCCCAAGAAAGGTCAAACTCTCAACTCGGTCACTCGTCGGATTAAATAATATCACATCCCATTAGTTGATGATTTTCTCAATGGCTTGGAGCAAATGCAGCAATGGTTTCTGTTTCATAATCTTCCAGGGCCAGGACAAGACAGATAACACTCTTTCGGGGCAACTGCGGCTTCGGGTTCCAAATTCGTGGTCCACGAGGTGAGAGTGACACAAATGGCTCTGTTCTCATGTGCCTGGTGGCATTTTTTTTCTCAAAATTTTTCATCTGGTGGATATTGCAGTCTGATTTCTCCGTAGCCGAGCTGGACTGCAAGCGTTTCATCAGCAATCGATGTTGATGAAGCTTTTGCAATCAAACTACAGACCAACAACCAAACAGCATCTCCGAGTTGCCTATGTTCTGCGACACTACCAGACTACTGTTGTTCTTCGCTGTGTTCACGGTGTCATATGTCCAGCTGCGCAATTGCCTGTCTATCAGTTTCCCCTCAATTGTTTCACATGACCCGTGTTTTTCATGTAAATCGATACTATCCAAATGTGAGTTGGCTGCCGCTCGTAGCTAGGACGATGGTCAGTTTTGTGGCACAAACGACTTTTGATTCCATTGAAAACTTTGAATTTTTCAGCAAAGCATCTATCCAAACCAATCATGCTACCGTAATTTAGTAAGTACTAGTAAGTATTGTGTGACCTTCCTTGCTTTGCGCAACCAACAAGGTGACGGTACGATAGCCTGTGCCAAGGGCTAGTGTGCGACAACATCACCCAGCCCAAATGAAAGCTAGAATGCACTAAGTTCAGTAAACAAGGTGGTCCGTTGGATTGTCTTTCATTTACGGAGCTGAACGAGCATTCCTTCGACTTTGATTATCTATCAGTCTGTCTTATACCGATCAGAAACGGTGCTCAGCAGGGGATAACAAGACGAGTTTCAACAGATCATGGGACCGAGAGTCACAGTCTTCTGTGCAATTCGCTGACTTCCATCAGACTTTTGTCCGTCAAGCAGAGTAGTCTGCTCTCCGGCCGATTCTGAGGTCATGAAGCCGCCAGATGAGCAAAGGAATGAGTAACGTGTTGTAATAAGGTATACCAAGAAAACAAGTCCTGCATACAGTCAAAATATTTCCACGTTACTATCCAGTGATCCCTATCGGGAAGATCTTATATCCTTGTGGAAATGAATCATCAAGAAAAAGTACGCAGTAGCCAAGTTATGAGAGCGGTCCAGTCAGACACATTGGGGTTCGAACAACAGAACTCTTCCTTTATACTTGAATGTGATAGTACGGCGACCGCAACAATTTACTTTTTATGCATGAAACCAAGAAATACTTCCACTGGTTCAACCGTCCTACCATTTTTATTTGAAATTAATGCATTCTCTTCTGTTTTAAACGTCTACCTTATACTATAGAAAGACACTTGGACAATCTGGGGGAAATTCTGTTGAATAAATCAGAAGTTTCATGTCTTCAGAGGATAACTTCTGTACCTCTGAGTCCAGCCTTTTTCCTCGAAAAAGATCTTTTTGGCATCTGGATTGGAATTAAGTCATGTTTGAATATTCAAAGCTACCATATGATTTCACCCTGTTCGTTTACTACTCAGAGTAGAACTTATCCTTTCATGGATAGATTAACTATCACACGCCATGGATGTATGTCCAGTGTTCAGCAATATTAGGAAATAGCGTAAACAGTCCTTCTTGAATAAGCCTCTCCCCCTATTTTTCAGTTGAGATTCACGTGCTTCATCTAGCCTCAAGAAAAGGTGGGCTGTTTCCTCGCCGATGTTTTGGTTACAAGGGCAGTTTGTCGACTGTATACGTAGCGAGGAATCTGACCAGTGTCTCATACACTTACTCGGCTGGACACGCTTTTTCGACGCACATTGCGTCACAGCTGCTCTAGAACGACTGTAGAGGAAACACATGGTGTAGAATAACTCCCTTTAGTTCAGCGAGAACAGAACTCCTTAGATATCAATCCAAAGTTTTCTTAGGCTTTTAGTCAACACACACTTGTTCTTTTTCCGCAGACCCACTGGACGGTCGGCGATCAAATTCTGTACCGGCCAATCAATATATCGATGAAATTTTCCCAAATACACCTGCAGCAAGAGCTGGATTAAAAGCTGGGGATTATTTGCTTGAAGTGAGTCAGAAAACGATCCGTACATTATGGTCTGAAATAAATGCTGATCTGAAGAAAAGAGCCAGCGATGGACTACGTTGGCTTAAAAACCAAGGTCACAAAAGTCGTCTCTGTTCAGTGTGCTAACGGGCAGTTCATCCGTTCGAACAATAGCCCTATCAGGGGATTAACGTGACCTCTGGTTTATTCGAACGGTACTGTTTCAAACACATGCCCTAATCTGATGTCGATCACCACAGCTTTCAATGTGTTCACACTCGATCGATCCACTACAGTTTGGAAGTCTTATCAGTTGCACTTGAGACATTTGTACAATCGGTCAGCTATGTGGTCACAGCGATTCTTTATTCTCAGGCCCATAAAGAGCAAGTCACGAATCTCGGAAGCTTCAATACGATAGTTACGCATATAAAGGAACTCCGGACGAGGGCACCTTGGCCGCAATGCGATTTTTTTCCTCTCACTACGAAAAAAAACGCTAGTTTCGCAATGGTAGGAACGTTTTCCGAACGGGCACATGCCTAAACTGATCTGAAAGTTCTGTCAGAACAAATCGGGGTTAGCCACCAAGAACAACCCCGTTAATCGGAACCTGCAAAACTGGGTACAACAGTGGTCATTCCTACGACTAATACCTCTAGCCTCCACGGATTTATCGTGACTTTAGCAAGAAATCCACCGGCCACACTTTTGTCGTCGTAACACTGTAAGGACTGATGTCTGCAATTGCCCGTAGACTTGGAAACTGCGTGTACAATATTACGGTGTAAAAGTATCCACCAGTCTAACTCGCTGCTAACAATTTGGCGATCTGCGGCGGAATTTCAGTTACACAATCGTTGTTATACGGTTTCATTGTTTCACTATGCTCTAGGACCATCATCAGCTGTCAGCTTTTCACACTCGCTTATTTCATCACGCGATCAAAAAACAACCGCTACTTCCCAACAAAAGAGACAAACTTTGCCTGAAAGGACTCAGTAAGCAGTTAAAAGATTCTGAACTGCTCATCTTAATTCAGTTTTAGAGGGTCAACGAAAAAGAATGCCTCGTTGCCGTTAGGGGTGCAAACGTGAGTTCAATGAAATACCCCGCACATATGGTCATACAGGGAGATTAAACAGCATGACCGACAGATCTTGTGCATCATTAGATAGGGTCTAATTATTCGTGAGCGGAATAGCTCAGTGCTTAGAGAGCGAACTTATTGACCGAAAGGTCCGTGGTTCGAACACGCCTCCCGACTTCCCCTTTCTAGGCTTGGGCAACCTGACAGCCCTCGTGCTTCCTCCGGGTGTCATAGGCACCGAATGGGTGCTACAGCTGAACGATTTCTGTACGAATCAATCGTTAGAACCACTGAATAGAGCGACATACTGAAACACCTGATTCATCGCAATTTTCAAGGACACTACTTTGGTTCACGGATATTTTCGACTGGAGATTTTACTTTTGTAAACGCTCTTTTATTTAGACAATCTTCTGATCCTCTTTGCCTCGGATATAATGCATGTTAAGTCATTGAGTAAACCAGTAAACGTTGTTTTTTTCCTATGCGTGGACTAACGTGGGTGAAATTTCGTACAACCATTTCCACTGACTATGCTGATCAGTGAGCAAATCGAGGGCAATTTTACTAGAAAGTAAATACTTAGACTGGTAATATGTCGCAAAACGGGATGCTCGGGTACATTTGCTGGCTGTTGATCAGGCGAATGGACGATAAGATCGACGTTCGTCTGGACAGCGACCAAAAGACGTTCGAAAAACATCTGTAAACACCTAGAAAAATGGAAATGTAACCACGCATTATTGGCTGTTTCCGGCTCATACGTATGTACGGACTACAAAGAGCGGATGCTTCGTTTCTTTCCGTTGTCAAAATCACAGAGGATAACCGTGATTTCTTCGGCTTCGAGAAAGCTTGTTCCATTGCTCTTGGGCAAACTTTGAGGAAAGTAAAAACATCTGATATTTCACGCTTCCCTCAGGTTGAACACCATCTATTCAGCAAGAAACAAAGCGGAACAGGCGGAATTTTTGCACTGGCACGTTGCTGGTTTCCTCTGAGTCTAGCTCGGATTTCGTATTTTACGCTGGATTCCACTATAAGTCAAGTAACCGGTCAGTCACAGACTCCACTTTTTGGTTTCCTTATTCAAGGTGAATGGAGAAAACGTACGGGATGCGTGTCATCAGCACGTGGCTTCACTCATCGCGGGATCTGGTCCAAGAGTGACCCTAAAGGTGGTGGGCGGAGGTAAGACTAGTTGCCTCTGATATTAAATGCCCGCAATTTGGGAATGCAGTTTGCTACATTAACTTATGAAGATGAGTGAACTTGTCGGATGAATTATATGAACGACTTGGTAGAGCTAGAAACCGATAACAAGGTTCTTACTAACCCAGTGTTAAACCGGGTCAGAATATATGATGTGTGCTCAATGTTGGCCTTACGTTTTGCCTGCAGGATCTACTCATGGATTGAATGAGGCTCACGTTTCCTGAATGTCTCCGAAAGCAACCACTGTGACGGTGGTTTGTGTCCATTTTAAAAGGGTTAAAATCTGCCCTCGATGCTAAGTGCATATACATGATCCTAAACGCCACTTCGAGGCTCATCGTCATCATCATCATTGCCAGCTGTAATAGCCGCGTACTCGTCGTACAGTGGTTGTAGCTGCCACAGTTTTGTCCACCGCTGATTCGGGGAGGTGGGGTAGGTAGCTGCGCTTTGGATGCGGGAGCTGATAAACTAGTGTGTAAACACAGCACTGTAGGCGAACTGTTAAGTGGGTGGATTGGGAAGGGAGCGATGTATTGAAGGCAATAGCTTGGATGCATGAGCGCCATCGAGGGCGCGACTGGGCCACGTCTGACAATGTCTCTAACCATTTATGTGGACCGTCTCGGGGTCCTATCCCGGAAAACGGCAGTGACCGGCGCAGCTGAGTTTGCTGGTAATGGGTTTCTTACTTCACTGCCAACTCATTGTTCTCTTTTACCCTTCATGTGGTTGTGCGAAAAGAGCCCTTCGAGGAAGTCGGTCGACTGGCATACGCAGCGCATGGCCAAGCCAGCGCAACTGATGCAGGGACACGTTTTATCACCGTGTGTGGCTATTTCCCGAGCTCACAGTAACACACAATTTTGTCCCCTTACTTGACCAACCTATGTGAAAAACCTGGCTGAAATTTAACAGGAGAAAAAATGACCTAATCATTCAGATAGGCAGTGTTTTGCTGTAGAAGCTTCAGGAATGAATCGGGTAGTGAACACACAACAAGTTAACTTCACATTGTGAATTCTGGTCCATTTTCCAATGTTGCTGTACTTCCGTAGAGAGTACATAGTATGATTTCCTCGTGAATCATCCTGTGAGATTCTTAGACATCCGGATCTTACGGGACGATTAGAGCATTCAGTAGGCAGTAGGAACAGACGGACGGGGCAGTAGATCCTGTACTGGGAACGGGTGCTATGATCAAGTGGGTTAATAAACATCCTGAACAAAACAGAAACTGCAATCAATAACAGCACAGTCGATGGGAGCAAGAGAAGGGGCAATGAGGCAGCTGGGCGTTGGATGAGGGAAATCATACAATCTAAAGACAACGGCGCAGAAGACAGTTAATAGGTTCGGTAAGCAAGAGAAACTGTCTGGAAAGCGGATCTTTAGCTGACAGGTTAACATTTGTTACGTGTCACATCGGAATGCTTGCTTAGACCCTTTTAAAACAAAATATAAGCAAACCCTACCAGGTTATATGCATTACACACGTAATGGAAAAATAGGGCTTCCTGGAATGTTGAGCTGGCGTAGTGGATAGCGCAGTTGTCTGTCATCGGATGGGGTCCGGGTTCGGTTTCCAGGTGACCCACCTTTCTGACATAGCGGGTACTCAAAACTAAGTAGAGTTGACACGAAATTGCATGCGAAGAGGGCGAGCGATATTAGTAAATTGATCCTAAGCAAAACTTGAGTGGGAGCAAAAATCTTGGGAATGAACAACAGGGAAACAAAAGGGAGAAGTGTGAATCACGCTACTCGTGAGTAGTCAGGACAAATCGGAAATGAAACCACTGATAACCGTCGATTCGCAGGAATCAACAATTACCATCACGGTAACCGAGTTTCGCCGATGGGTAAATTACAATCCACAGGTTTCTGGACGACATAAAATCGAATGGAACACCTCGATAACTCCCAATCCCGCCAAAGTAATAAGGCCACCTTCAAACCGGGAGGGCTTCAAGTACCGCAACGCGAAATTTGAGTGCACCCAGATCCAGTGTTACCACAAGTGGACAATCAACTAATTCGACATGCATTGATAAATTTGTCCGGAGTATCTACCACCAGTCATCTCGCTCGAGTATGCGAGAAGCAGGGCCATTAGGCAGAGCAGTGGAAAACGAGTCAGTTATGGGATCATAGCATTATCATAGGTGATGGTTCTGGCGATTGAAGGCTTGTATTCTGAAGGCGTGCTTAGGTAAGACGTCAGTGACTGATGAAACAGGTGGAAGTTGTCTGAAAGAATTCGTTAGGTGGAATTGGAACAAGCAACAAAATGCTTACATACTACAATGTCAACGAAGACATTCCCTGAGATTCTACTGTACGTAGAAATATGGTTTAGTCACCTAGCAGCACGGCAGTGATATCACTCAAGAAGCCCGTGGAAGAGAACAGGGGGACACTGATTCCAGTGAGAGGAATACGAGTACCAACAAAACTTGCAGTATAAAAAGCTAGACATCAAGCCGTATTTGTAACTTCTTGGATCTGAGTGGTCTAATAACGTTTTTTGTTACCATCACACCCGGAAATTTCACAGCAGAATCTCTGGAGGGTTGATGGCAACACTGTGACTTTGACTGGAGTTGGTAGAAGAGATAAATTCTCGGTATTTATGAATATTTAAGGAGAGGGGGAGCTCGCTTGACGCGCTCAGAACTCCCTAAATATACATTGTACCTCAAGACTTGCTGCATGGACGCTTGAATTACCATGTTGACGCAATTACAGTAGGTAAAACGAAGAAAAGAAAGTATGAGACTAGCATCCTGAAGGTCAACACTGTTAGCCGGCAATGGGGAAGAAAGGTGGTCACACCACTCGTGAGTGTTGTACGGTTTGCAACGTAGTGTTCACTTAGCTTTTGCTGAGTACACTCTCTGTTTTCAATGAAAAGCTGCAGTGATTGTTCTCTGTCAACATTGTTGCATCTAGTGCCGAAGCGACGAAGTAAGTGTCTTATTTGAGACGAGACTGATGACGTACAAGTTGGTACCAGTCTCGATTCAGCAGCACGAGCTAAAATCAACTGCCAGACTGTTAGGAAGCTTTTCAATGCAAAGGCTGTCAATAGGCAGAAGAGATATTGGTCCGCTGAGGTCCGCAAGCTTTACATGAGTTGTTCACTGCATGCGTCTAAATAGTATGGATGCGAAGGTCACGTATCTGTTAGAACTAGTGCATTTTTAGACACCACCTCAGTGGTTTTTCACGACAGATTTCACAATAGGACAGCTTTCAAAACAGGTATTTTTTGTGGAATATGCAAACCAGGTAGATTATCGATATATTTTCTGACTAGCTACAAATGGAGCACCACCAAGGCGGAGAATTCAAATTATTGATCGACGTCAATCTAACTATGTGCGACCGCAAAATTCAACGGAGGTACGCCGATCGTCCTCACACGATCAGGCCTGTATAGGGGCCTACTGTCCCCCGATAACCCTGTCTTTATCTCGTCGGTATGAATACCGAAAACCTTCACCGGCCAACGCAGACTACGAAGGTCTATCAAGCATGACTACGGGCGACTATTCTCCGACTCTAACTCGGGAAGTTTGTATCCGGACTCTGACCAGATCTCGGAATTCTAGTAGTTCAACAGTTAACTCCTTGACGGATGCAGAAAGCGACGTCAGTTTTTCAAATGGACAAGCTAGTTCCACCACATCTACCAAGGAGGACTTCCTTTTCACGCCACACGTCAAGGTTTTACGAGAAAATAATACCACTATCCCACTATCCAAGGTGCGCACTTACTTTTTTTTGGTATAAAATGATTCAACCGGTCTTTTATGTACAGTCAGTCATCTATTGTGTCAGAAATTGCGATATTTTAAAGTATAGGTTCCTCATTATTGAGCCAGAAGTTGCAGCTTCGAAATGATAATTATTGATAATTAGCATTTGTTAATGATCCTTATTATTCATATTGTTATTATCAACGTATGGAGCAGAGAACAAATCAAATGGGCACACCGCACATAGATTTTCGTTTGATTGGTTGGTCAGCGGCATGTCACGTGCTGTAGAAATAAGCCCCCAATTTGAATCTGTCAAAATAGACCAGCCACTTGTGGCTGATTGGTCAGGTGTTTGGAGCTCTGAGCGCATTCGAAATTCCTCCAATCCCGAGATTGTCTTATACACACCAGAAAAAAAACCTTCGCGAGTCATTATTTGTGGATTCATTTGTCTTCACTAACTCACCTGTTGCTCAGAAAAGAATGGAGCAGCACAACTCTTATATATTGGATGGTCTGCTTCCGTTAGGCTAATACGTTTGTCGAAAATGATTATTCGTATAGATACTAACGTCCATGTCAAGTATTACACTCACGTGACTTTCATACTATATCTTAGTTTGAATCAGCATGGAGTTGCTGTCCCACCACGGGATTTTCCCCAGATTCCCGACTTTTATCGGTTTTATCCAGTCCCTCTACAAGCCTGTTTTGTCGCAGTTTTGTTACCACGATGGATGAAAAACTCACCTCGTGACCTGCGTTCTTGGTTTTGCAAAAATCCACTATTCCGAGGATGAACTATGGTGAACCGCCTTCTTAAATGTTTCTATTCTCATATGAATCGGTTAACCAATCCTCGTATTCCAAGGGCAACGGCAACCTAATCTAGCTTTTCCATTGACGGCTGAGTTGTTGACGTGCGTCATTAGGACTTACCGACACACTGCTAAGCAGTAACTATGTCACCTCGACTGCTGACGAAACGCTTGCAAAGAATTGACTAAGCTCAGCTCAACCATCAACTTCGTAACCTGATTTAGCGCGGGTCTATCCTTCAGCAAACTATTCGTCGTACTTTTAGTACAAATGATACAGTCTGCAGAATTCAAGCCCCTGTGCTTTGACATCGCACATGCAACTGGTCAAGCTGTCATTTCTCCAAACTGCCAACCTTTATTCCTCTTCAGGTCACTATATCACGGGAAATTGATGGAAATACAATACCTCATCCTCGCATAACAGGTAAGAAAAATTGTTCAACTTATGATTGGTATTTGTGATCAACACTACTTTCGACCTTGTTTTGGTAATAATCCATTGAATATTTGAGATATCAAACGCAAGAAGTTTGAGTAGATTGAAAGATCAGTGTTTGGGTGACTAGAAACTACGTTTCACCATATGTGAAATGGATTAGGAGTTAGCAGCAATGGACACGAAGTTTTGAGAAAAACAACTGGTTTCGTGGCGTGGGGGGGGGTGTGATAGGCTAAGGGTAGGCGTACAAGCATGGTAGTCTCGAGTTCCCCTGATGTTTTGACTAGCAAATTTCAGTGGAACACACCTGATCGATGAAGGTTGAGAAAAAACATCGGGGTTTGGGGGGGGGGGGGGGGGGTGATAGGCTAAGGGTAGGCGTACAAGCATGGTAGTCTCGAGTTCCCCTGATGTTTTGACTAGCAAATTTCAGTGGAACACACCTGATCGATGATGCTCGCTATCCGCCACAATGCGAAAGTGCAACACAACACCTGTTTTCACTCTCCAAATTATCTGATCAACGTTTCCCGGCATCAGTACATATCGATGTGAACGCGTTGTGTTTTGCCTGTTACAGATAAAATCCGTTTTGCGTCCGGCACTCTGGACGAAGTAAGTCAATCGCAAGAATAAACATACAGTTTCCGGTCACATGGTGCTTCATATGGAACTAAGGTTTCGCGCGCCTTTTATCCACTTCCTCGCTTTCCCTTGAACCTGTCCTGATAACGCGCTAGATTGGTGTCTCTTTATGGAGAACACCTTCAAGGAGCATTTAAATTGCTTTGAACTCCGTTTTACTGCCTAGTCGTAAGTTAAACCCTGAGCGATGCTATAATCCAACAATGGGTAGGAAAACTTTGTTTCCCATCCACAGTGAGTATACACGGGCATTTTTATCTAGATCCTGGAAAAGTCATTCTTCTAGTCCATCCTTCAAGCAGCCTTCAGCAACTTCACTCGGTCTTTGATTTACACCGTACACCATATCTGACAGTGTCTAACAACAAAAGCACCCTCGAACTTCCCATTGTCCTCCCTTGCCTTGCGAAGATACACAATTTCAGTTCCTCTGCCAGAAGCAAATAGTTCTGTGTAGAAGCCATCGGTAAACTCGCCTTACTGTAACTTTACAGTTTGGGCGAATAACGAGGCGAGTTGAACTACAGAATTGCAGTCAGTTGCCACGTTTCGGATTAATGTGAAAAGATATCTATCAGTTATATCAAATTGTAGAACATTCCCACAATGACAGTTCCGCTGTCGATACAACGCTTTTGACGCCTTGTTGGCTTGATGGATCCGCTTCCTAAGGAACGGTTAACACATAAAATCAATATGTCACGGTATCTACAAGGTGGGCAACAGAGCACAGTAGCGTTTATGGGTATTGATAGATATTCAGCAAAGAACGGAGATGACCCGATCGCTACGTGTCACCTTGTAGCATTCGCCAAAAATACCGAAATATTTGTAGCTGTGACAAAAACCAAGGAACATTAGCAAAAATATGATGATAAAAAGCTGACCCTATCCGAACTTGCTTTGAAAGGGGGTTTTGTTTAAGATTATCAACTGCGAGCGTGTTGAATTCAGCCACACCGTAGGAGTGAATTCCGGCATCGTTCTGGAATTTCACCCTAAGAAAGGTTTCGTCATCCAAATAAAATGTATTTCAATATGAACATTGAGGCCAGTCCTGATCACATCCATGAGCATAGGGAGAATGTATGATGTAGTGTGCCCTTCGAATCAACAACAGAGCAAGGTTTTACTGAAGAAATGGAACAGTCAAAGTTACGTTATAGTCAGAAGGATCTGAAAATTTTTCCCAATTCTTGAGATAGAACAAACATGGTTGTCTTTGTGCCCCAACAGGGCAGAAGTATGACAACATTTGGATACACCAGGGTGCCAACAACAAGGCCAATCAGTGGGCTATATGTTTATACGATATTTCCGTAATTTTCAAGTATAACAGTGAAAAAAACTACAAATACCCGACCTTTAAATGCCCTTAAAAACCGTTTTCGGTCAGTAGCGACCACTTGATCTTTCTATTGTGGGCTGAAGCCGCCCAAAACATCCGTTTTACTGACTGATCACCTGCCTTACTTCCATCCGGAGTTGGCTGCAGCAGTGTAAAACATCATCAGGTTGCGGGTGTTACTCTCCAAAGAAACCACAGAGAGAACCCCATGAAAAATACCCCTCTTTTCAGTGGAAGTAACTTTTCGAATGGTCAGATGGACCAACCGGAACGGTGGTGATACAGTCCTAACATAAAACACCGTAATAAAAAACTCCATGGTGATCGTACCGATGACAGTGACAGTTAAGTCAATCGATCCAAAAAAGCGCGAAACTGAGGTACAGTGTGTTCAACCGGATTTGACTTTTAACTTATTTCATCTTTATCCAACTCTCCATTAGATTTCCATTTAGAGTAAGTACCGTGTTACAGAGGACTCTGCTGCATACATCTCTAACACCGGGGGTGAGTAAGTCACCTAATATCGGCTTGTTTCTTGGTGGCAACATACCTGGTTGCATAGTATTGCAACCCTGAAACTAACCAAAGTAACCAGTACATGTCGACAACGTAATGCCGACATTTTCATCGCTGTCAGCAAGTTTCTTTCGCCATAAAGAAACTATCTTCGGAATGACATCATCTTCCAATCCTTTGACTTTGGTTCTCGAGACAATGCAAGACTTTGCTCACACGGAGAAGCCGCTCTTTTTGAGAGTCTCGTCGCATTCCCTCTAGAACGGATAGATAGAGTCACATTAGTTCTCGCCGATTAAATTATGCGTGCCAACAATATTCGCTCTCGGGACTGCTTCTCATGAATCGCCAGTGTGGAGAAGTGAACATTTCAGAATGATGTACTGTTAGTTTGAGTTAAAACTATATGCGAATTTTGTGCAGAGTGATCGGAATTAGGCCCAAAAAACTTCGTGGCCGTTTGGAGTAGATGAATTAGATGGATTTAAATCGACGGTGCGTTGTTGATGGAGTACAAAAGTGAGGAAAAATGTATCCCATAGAGTGTACGATTTGTACTGATTTGTCAGTGTTTTTCCAACGATGATCATCTACCTCCGTGAAATAACCAATTAGTCATGACACCCTAGTTTTCAACAACACTGCCGTCGCGGTTTGGGCTTTTCTTTTCCGAACCTAAAAACGCTTGAAGTGAACTTAATAATCACCTAGCGATAATAACGGTGTTGGTGCGCTAACCTCAACCGAACTAATTGTGATAGTTTCGACTCAGTGAAAATCACTGTTGTGCCGCCTGATTACGATTTGCTCTTACTTTTTTTTACAGGAAATTCCACTTTACGAGTCTGTGGATTTTACATCCACGGAAGAGCAACTGGATGCGCCAACCGAATAGCAGTGCACAGTCTGGTCAAATTCACGCAACCGAACCCCGAAATACGATTTTGTGATTGTTTGGTTTAGGCCAACTCATATTCCGCAAAGATCAGTTTCAACCAGATTCTGCCGTTTTTATGCTTTGTCCACAAATTGTATGCGAATTAATGAACCCAAGAGTTTTATACAGTTGTCTTCTTAGTCACCTCTCCACTTATAAACATTCATGTTGATTTGTACCCTTGCTGCAAGTGCCTCAGTAGAAACTGCTATATTGGATCTATATCGTGATAAAAGTATTCACAGAACCCCTCATCTTTTTCCAGTGATTCAAGAAATGCTCTAAATATCTAACCATGGTGTTTTTAACTTTTCACCGAGCACCTTTTCCCACCAAAACTTTCACCAGTGGAGAGGACAGAACTAATTTCACTCAACTGATGATGCGTACCACTAAAATACCAACCTCTTCAACTAACCTAAGGTCACCTGAAAACTTGTCCATTGGAGTCATAGGTCTACTTAATGGTGCTGTACAGTTGAAGATTTGATTGACAATTTTTTGCTCAAAAACTTACAATCGCTTTCTTATTTAAACAAACAATAAGTCACCAGGTGAGCAGGCATTGGGGAATTCCCAAGTCGTACCGTGAAAACAATCCCCGCTGGCTCTCCAGTACCAAACTCGACTCACAGTTACGTCATGCAAGCTCCACAGACTATTGACACATCAATCTCACCAGCGAGTGATCTTGGCTTTACCAAGTCTGGCATCTTCTCTTAGCTGTATTCGTTAATGCCCGAATCAGCTGGCGCCCTTCTGAAGGTCACTTGAGTGACAGCCTTACATTTTATCCAACGATCATAGGATCTGTTAGTCTCCAGTTCAGGGGTGAGACGGCGCAGTGGTTAGAGCGCGAATTTGCTGACCGGACGGTTCCGTGGTTCGAACCCGACATCTGCCTCTCAATTTCCCCTGTCTAGGCTTGGGCAACCCGGCAGCATCCTAGCCCTCGTGCTTCCTTCGGGTGGCATGGCAGTTAGGCACCAAAAGGGTGCTGCAGCTGAACAATTTATCTATATTGTTTTTTCCAACTACCGGTCGAATCACCCTGGATGCTGATGCTTAGGAATAGTTGTATTGGCTGCTGTTTGTTTTGCTCATTCCGTCGACTGATTGGTGCTCACTAACAGTAATGTCTATTCAAGCATTAGTACACAAAACCAGAATGACGTTTTCACGTATTCTAGAACCCGATTCCGCACACCATGGGTTTGCATAATAATAGTTGAATCAGGGAACCAACAGGACAAAGCTTTGCTCTCGTTTTATTTACTTCAGGCTGAATATCACACGAATTTATGGGAAACTGCCCAGTTCTCTTACAAGTTACATGAAAGCTTTCCGGAGTCGACGTGAGGACTGACTGAAAATGCCTGAGTCAACACGACTATGGAGGTCGTATCAGGATTTTTTTTTCAAAAAGGTTCTGGGCTGCATAACCGAATTCCAACGGTCTCAGAAGTCTATAACACTTTGTATCTTTCAGTCTTTGACCGAGGTTCCTGTTAGATACACGAAAGGCATTTCCTTTATACGCACGCTGATCCGCCTAGGCGAAGGGCACCATGATAACATTTGAGCTAGAATTGTGGTGAGGTTAGATGCAACTAGGCTCAAGTATTCGACCTGAGAAACAGCGTGCCATGCTAGAGACCGGTATACGCATGAATGTACGCAGCCACCAGTGAAAAGGTATCTCATAGGGGAATCTGCAAGAATGGAACAAAGCACGGGACTCCTTCAAGCAATCGTCTTTCTGTCAGTGTTACAGTGACAAGACCCTTCTGAACCCTGAGACAAGGATATCGATGTTTTTATCACTGCATTCGTCCCAGTCACAAACGTAACCAGTCGATTCGTTGAGCGATACACTGGTAAACACTGAAACGACTTCAAGAAGGAACGTCTTAGTTATCCAGCATTACTTCTTCGGCTAAATCTTCAAATTCGGTCTGTTATCCAGATGAAGTAGGGACAATTTTGTTCCGAAGGGTTTCAGAATGTTAACAAGGTAAAAGGATATTTGAACACTTCCACAATGAGCCTCTTGGTAGACTGGACTTATATACGTTTGACAGGGTATTATGGTGCCGTTACAACGGCTGATCTCGAAGGCATCAATGTTCTTCGTCCGTTTTCAACAAGACTTTCTCAACCACGTACGTTTTGCCTCTCTCATCTTCCGTGTTTCTGATTTCCAACGGAACAATATATACCCTGTTAATGTATTCAGTTTCATCCATTAGGACGACGACCGAAATCCCCTTTTCATGTTTGGAAAGTAATATCCAGTCACTCTCCTACAGGAGAAGACATTTTATGGATTGAAAATATTCCTTCCTCCGAAATCGGTGGAACCAATTGTTTAATAAACGCGACTACATGGCACTCCACTGACGATAACAGATTGTGAAATTACGCAAAAGACTACCTCTGAATAGAATTGTGAGAATGAGAGAACTTGGGCAATATTCGTCTCACAAAACCGTCGTGAACCTATCACACGGAGATGCTTTTACGGACCTCTAAACCAGGTTTGGCTTGGTTGTAAAGAACAGAGTCACCAAGTAAGGATAAGCAAAGCAATTTATCTGTTTTCTACCAAGCGGCGGGTGAAACTACGTTTGTGACTGATTGACACAACTGTAGCACCGATCTGGTGAGCTCGTTACATACAACACCACTGCGCAGCTACACAGGCCTGACATGTTGCCAGATGAGTTTGTATTTTAACAACTGATCCGAGATGCGACAGCTCGTTCGCAAGCCCTAAGACTGTCACGATAGCACTGACACTCATTGTGAATATATTTAAAGCCTTTTTCTATCTTGCCTTTTCTATCTCGCATCCGAAGTAAAAACTGTGGATTACCAAGGTCCTTAGACTTACTTTAAGTATGGTTCATCCAACGCGTCTTAACGCGGATTCTTGTAAATGTCCAAAAGTTTAGAACAAAAGTGAGAAGTTATGCACATCAATCGAACTTTAGGGAATCAGTGACACTTTTCAGGGTTTTCTGTGGTTATCATCTCATTTCCTCGGATGATTGTAAGAATCCGATGGAAAGTTTAAGGTTAAAAAACAAGTGCGGAGAACGCCATCAAGAAAGGTGAGATAAGGAGACGAAAACACGGTGAAATACGCTATAGAAGTGGCACCTCAGAAGTCATTCGAAAGATACTTCGGGATTGTGATAATGCAACATTCTTCCGAATCGACAACACCTTACAACGATACCTTCTGAAGGATAAGGACCCCATCGAACGGAAACACCACACAAACTGCGTCTACCTGTGCAGAATATCTAGCCAAATGGATAGGCTAGACATTCAAGCAAATCCACATGCGAACATGTGGGGAACACAAACGATATGTGCGTTTTCCTCCACGAAATCCAATTGACTTCAAAAAGTTGAACGCTACTCGGTCACTGCACTCCACCAACTTGATGGTTTGACTCAACAAAGATGGCACATGGGTGATTGTGCACTGGAATACTAGAGATCAACACACACAAACGGACTGCGTCAACCATGGTAATTTAGCCAGCATTCCGTCTGTCGGGCTTGCACACCTCAGTAGGCATGGTGGCCAGAGGTGAAGCAGGAATCTCAACGACATCACGGCCAGCTAGACAACAAACGGAGGCACAGCCCAGTCAAAGTATACACAGCCAACCGCACACGCACATTGAGGTAACAAGACTCAAGTCGGGTTTGGCTCGGAACTCCATGTAAGAATCCTCCTTGATTCATTTTCGAAAAAAAGTTTGGTGACAATCGGTAGATTTATTGCTGGGCAACGTTTCGCTTTTGACACAAAAGCTTCGTCAGGTCAAGTGACTAGGTTCCGAGGTTGATCGAGGTTTAAGGCGGAAGGAGAACCAATCAGCTAAGTAAAGCTAAACCTCTGTTGGATTTCCGCCGAGGGAGAGTGTTAGAGTGGTTGAACAAGTGTTAGGTTGGTGAGGAAACCCACATGTGTTTGGGTCCAGTCTAGGGTCTAGTTCTTCTGGTTCGGTTCATTTGATGGTTTCTCTTGAACTTCGTTTGAACCTTCTGTCAGTCCGTGTGGGTGAGCTAGTGCTAAGATAGTTGTGTAAGAGAGATGCTGTGAACTTTGGTCGGTTTCCACCCTCACCCCGGTTTTTTTAATGATCCTAAGTGGATTGACAACCACACCGTCACGTGTCAACTCGGCCTATCTAAGACCGCTTTCCATACGCTCGCTAGCTCCACACCCTCGATTCTATACACACTGTGAATCTTAGTGATTTCCACCGCCTCGGCTATCAGCCACTGTGGTGTGAATCGCAGTCCCCGCCTTAAAACTTCCACATTCTCCAGATCTATTCTATGTCCCGTGTCTAAAGCATGTACCGCCATCGCTGAGTCTTTGACCAGCGCTTGGTATTCTTCTGCATTCCTTGGTGGCTTGTTAATCCTTCTTTTATGCTCACCAATTCTCGTGTGCAATTCCCTGGCAGTTTGACCTATATACACGTTAGCACAATCGTTGCAGTTAATTTTGTACACACAGTCCCTGGTCCTTTCAGCCGGCACGGGATCTTTCAATTGCACCAAAACTGAGCGTAGCGTTTTTCCCTTCTGAAAAGCTACTCGAATGTTGAATAAGTTCAACAATCTTCGAATAACCCTGATTTTCCTGCTTTATATGGAATGACTGCTGTGCCAATCCATTCCTTACTGGTTCCATATACTGGAGCCACTGTCTTTCTTAGTTGACGCCTAATCAAACTCACTGGGTATCCTATTTCGTGAAGTTTGTTGGCAATCTCGGTTTGAGCTGCCGTCCGGTCGATCTCTTCTGTGCACAGAGCTCTAACTCGACGAAACATCGATGAGACAATACTGGTGTACACCGACTTTAGGTGTGCTGATGAATAGCTAAAGACGGTTCCTGTGTCTGTTGGTTTCTGGTAGATAATCGTTTTCAA